AGTTAAATTATTTTCTCTAGAAAAGCTCAGCTGGAAATATGAAGACACTGTGGTTTAAGGTTTCATGAGGTCACAAACTCAGAAGGACAATGACCAAAATAAGTTGAGGATTTGGGCAAGGAAGACACTAAAATAATGGGATATGGAATCCAAGACAGATGGGATAGGAAGTAAAGTCAGGAAAGGCTGACAGGAAGAACATGCAAGGACTGAACATTCTTAGAAGGTGACATTTAGATGTATCCTTGTGCCTAATATATTGCCTAGCATAAAGTAGTAATTTAGTAAGTAATTTCTAATTTATTAATTACAACAAAGACCTACCAATTTGACGTATATGGCCAGAAGGGACATTTGATTCAGACTTCTTTATAAAAGATTCTAAATGAGACTTCTTTGGATGTCAACAGGACTTGATGGTAACCCAGTAGGACAATTCCGTCAAAACAGCTTTCCCAGATAAACTATGGCATGGACTTCTTCAAAGTTTTCTCTAGAAGGGCTTAAACTTGTGCTTCTTCTCTTAGATGGACTTCTACTAGTGAAAGGCTGCTCTACAATGCCTCTGTAGCTTTATTCTGTAAATTTTACCTTTTCTTAAGTTTTTTTCACTGTAGTTATCCTCAATATTATGCCTTTTCACCTGGGTTATGATTACCCCTTTTAAGATACTTAGTAAACATTATTTCTCATGCTTTTCTGAAGCATAGCTAAAAGGTTGTGTGTGTGTGTGTGTGTGTGTGTGTGTGTGTGTATGTTTTCACTCCATGTATCTATATAAATATACATATATATTTGCATATATTTATATATTTATAAATATATATATTTCAGTGAGGCAACTTGAGGTTTTGACAAATGCAGCAACGTGCCTGGCTTCATACCTAGAACATAGCAGAATTCAATTACGTGTGGTTTGAAACTCTTACTTCATTTCTTCATGCTCCTTACAAACTTTGTAGGTGACAAAATACTGAAAACTAAGGAAATCCGAATCTTTAAAAACAAACTCTGGAGTGAGAGTTCCATAGTATCTCCATCTTCTGAAGTTAAACAAAGCACGGAAGGAAAATCCAGATAGATTTCTTGGAATTTGCAAGGACAGAATTTTGCTTAATAAAATGGACCCAAAATGGGATAGACTATTTGTCAAAGTGTTGAGTTTCTTATCTGCAAGCATATTTGTAGGGAGATTAGTAGCCAACTGTTGCACCTGGTTAATTTCTACTTCTACCATCAAATTTTCACTTTCTAACTTTTTAATCCTCACCACATTTACAAGAAAATAACCTAGATCTGAGGTGGTAGATTAGGTAGAACATTCACGTGTGACAAAGAATGATGGAACAATGATCATTATTGAGAGCATCTGTGTGAAAAAAAGTATTAGAATGTAAATGATGTAGCCGCTGCCATATGAAAAGCTATGAGTCTTGTTTTTCTTTCCAACAAAATGGCAAACAGTCAACAGTAGCACCAACCCATAAACAAATCTCACTCTATGGGCAAGTTATACAAAATCTACAATAGAAAGTTCTACACAAGAAAAGTATACCTAACCAAACTTTTTCAGAGAAGGAAAAAAGTAATTTTACAAAGGTCTAACACCATGTGATTTTGATAATATGAAGCTAAATAATAAGGAAAACTAATATAACAAAGGAAGAAAAAAGTTTTGTTTTATTTAGTATTTTCATAAGTAAATCAAAAAAGATTTCTCTGTATTTTTTAGAGAAATTAAGACTGTATGGATAAAAATAAATTTATCCATGTAGACAGAACAAAAATAATTTGTGAAGGCTGTGGGTGAGCAGAAAAGCAAGAAAAAATGTTTCAAAGGTAAGAAAGACGTGTTTAAAAAATTTAAATATTCATGTATATATAATACATATTTATGATAATGGGCTCTGTAATATAGTGTGAAAAAAGATCCAAGAACGTGATGGAACCATTAGTGAAAATATCAGCTAATGGGCTGCTGCAGCTTATAAAAATACTGCAAATATGAATATAAAAATACTTTAAATGTGATAGAGGAATGTGTTCTATCCTTTAAAAGAATTTGTAGTATGCCAGTAACTAGAGTGTTAAAAATAGTTCTAGTCATCATGCTTAGGGAAGCCTTAATAGGCTAGAAGTGGATGGATATGTAAAAAGGTACATTATATATAATTGTTACCATTACTATCATAGGCAAATAAATTCTGTCATGTAAAGGAAAACATGTAAAACTCTTTAAGGCTGTAAAAAGGAAAACAGGAGAGCTCTTCGGGGTCAACATAACATAATAAAATATAGGTAATGAATGACTCCTTTTTAATGAGTGCTCACTAGGTTGTAAGCACAATTCTAAGCACTTTACTTGTATTAATGCATTTAATCTCCATAAAATCTCTTCCTGTGGGCACTATTAATGTCCCAGTGAGGTACAGAGAAGTCCAATAATTTTCCCCATGTCACACAGCTAGTAAGTAGCAAAGCCAAGATTAAAACACAGGCATTCTGATTTCAAAGAATGTGAGCTTACCCCACTGCACTTGAAACTCAAATCGAATCTTGTCAATGGAGAGCTATTTGATACACTGGGAGTAGGTAGGTTTGAGGTAAATAAAAATAATTTTTAAATAAAAATAATTATAAAATGAACTATAAACCTTGAAATCATCAGAAAACAAATCTTCTGAATTCTAAGAGACAAAACACATGGAAAATATAAAAGAAGAATCAGGCAGTCCCTAGAGTCACACAGACAATAGCATAAAGCAGAGAAAGCTAGGGTAGGTAACTCTCTAGGCTCTTGAAGCAAGCCTCTGGAAGGTCAGGCAGAGCCTCCCATGGGGCTGCACTTCATGCCCCCAACACATACGGCTGCAGAGCAGGATGAATCTCTGACTTCACCCCCAGATGGAGTGCACTCCTTCTGTGACATGGAAATGTCAGAACTGTGTCTACCTGTGTCAGGGTTCTCTGTGCTGAGTTATAAATATCTGTAGGGCAGACAACAGATCTTACTCACTCACTTGACATATTACCCAGCTCAACACCACACACAAGGTTCTTGATAAACAGATTTTAATTGTTATGATATGCTACTCTTTCACTTAATTTCACAACTTCATACAACCATAGGATCTAATTTAAGAAATAAGAATGTGTTTTCCATCTATTTTTTGTTTGCCACTGCTAAGAATTTGGCTGACTGCGTGACTTTACAGCATTGTTTTAAGTAGAGAATCTCAGTAAAATATTCTTCAGGGAAGTACCAAATCTAAGATTAATAACTGTTAATTTTACTGAAGATTCTGACAAATAATTTGTTCAGGCTGTGGAAGTAATTATTATGAGAGATTTTTCTCTATACATACAATCTGCCCTTCTGAATCCATTGAGCTTTTGTTCAGCTGCTGTTTTGCAGTTAACTTCATGCTGCTCTTGCTCACATTAGCAGAGCATCTAGTATGGAACACAATCTTTTCCTTTTTCAGACATCAGTTAGCCGGAAAAGGAATGTCTCATGCCATCTCTCTCCCTCCTTCCATATTCTTTCTCTTCCTAAGAATGTGGCCCTATATAGGAGAGTATAAAAGAGCTTATTCAATGGAGTTGGGGCAAGCGGCCCACCAAGATTCGGTTCTATAACATCTGTTAAATAAAATGCTTTATTCCAATTCTGAAGGAACTCTTCCTGAAAAGACAGAGGATGTCTCTTGCTGTGAGAATTGTGTAGTTTAAAAATCATATTGTTCATTTTTCTGTTCTCCTGAGAATCAACAATCAATATTTGGTCTAGACTGGTCTCGAGGAGAGTATGACTTTTAAGGACTTTAGCAGAAGCTGTATCACCTATAATTCTGAGCTAAAACTGTGGGAGCTGGGGGAAAAAGGCAGAGTTCTGCCATAGGGTCAGGAGTAGTGTAAAACCTAGTTCAAGAAGAAGTTACGTAGTTGAAATCAAAATCCCAAAAAGCTAATGATGTACATGCTAGTTACCTGTACTTTCTTTCTATAAGCCTTCATTTGCAGCTATGAACTTACTTTTAGCTAAATTCTTTGTAATGACGTTACCATGTCCACCATTTGATGCCTACAACAGTGACATAGTACAGAATAAACCACAACTCCTCCTCTGGGAGTCCCTTCTTCACGTAGCCTTGCCCAGTTTCCTTATGGAAAGTGTATTTGTTCTTGTCTCCATTTTAAAACAACTGCTTGTATTCACTATATAGATCAGTGAACTCATTCTTAGATTTTAGCTATCGTCTCCACTACATGCATAAATGAGGACAAGGTTTGTTCTCTATATGCCACTATCTCATACAAAATGCACTGGTCTTCCACTGCACTCTGCACATAGTAGGTATGGGTTCTTGCATTGTATTTTCTTAACCTACTAAAGATAATCCACATGCTCCCAAATTTTATCACAGCTTGCCTCCAAGTCTGCACTTTGGTCAGAAATACAAGAATAAAGTTTGGATGCACACACATTAAGGAGTGATGAGAAATGCTATATGTTGACAACTGATTATTTTAATGTGTGCTAGACCCAATGAGTGGCTACCACTATACATGCTGTACATTTCAAATATAATTTGAAAACAGGTTTCCACCTTTAGTCATTTAATCTCAAAGCATATTTATTAGAATGAGGACAAAGCCTTGAGAAAAACAAAGATTATTCTCCCAACGCAACCAAAATAGAAATAAAAATTTTTATAACATACTTATGCTTCTAAAACTCAGGCCTATTGAATTTAAATGATTATTTAAACCAAATGAGCTTTCCTAGATGAACATTTTTGAATTATTTAGCTTCTATTATCTTTATGAACTCACTGTGTAGTAGAGAAGAGGAATTCTTCATAAAGTTCTCCAAAGTGGGCATATAACAAGTTTAAGTAGCTGCCTTTATTCTTACCAGCACTCAAATAATTGACATTTTTTAAAAAGATTTGCTGTCAATATTTTTGGAAACAACATTTTAATGATTAGCTTCATACCTCCTGCAGAAGGTCCTCTTCATTATTCATCTCAACACTTTTTATTTAAGTTCAGCTTTGGAAACCACAATATCTTCAACAAATGCATTCAACATGTATTTATATGTATACCTACAACAAAGACTGCAGATGATGAATGCCGTGGAGGCTTTTCCAGAGGTGTCTTGCAGGTAATAAAAGATAAACATCAGAGTCTGATGTGTCATGCCTAAGGCACAGTATGCTGGAAATGCACTAGAAGAATCGAATGACAAATGCTTGTTTATGCCTGACTCCCTGCAAACAAAAGACATACAAAGCTTAAAATTGTGTTGATTGACTTTTTTCTCCAACATACTGAATTTCTGTTATATAGCAATTGTATTCTGGAATGATATCTATTGTCAGATTCAGATGATGAAACACAATAGAATGATATCTATTGTCAGATTCAGATGATTAGACAACTATGCTGTCAAAGCCCACAGACAAAAGCCCAAATGGAAAAATACAGCTGTAAGTGACCCAGATTTTTACCAATGGCAAAGATCCACTCATTTGTGATTCTCATTTTTATTTTCTTTTTTGGATCCCTCTGGCCTCCAAATTAATTCTGGACCTTCATTTTAAAACTGAAGTATCTTTCTTAGCCTTTCCAGTTCTCCAAATGTCAGTCTCTAACAAATCCCAGACCATCCCCACTGTCCACAATGAACATGGAATTATCTACAGGCTGTCCCATAGGGTCCCATAAATAATCCTAACTCAGTAGAGGAAATAGGGAATGCTTTCTTGTCACTAGAAAAGAGAATTTGAAATTACACTTCTTTTCCATCAACTCAACTTCAAGTATAGTTGATGATGGAGGCTATGGAGTTTCTTCTGAACCAAACCAAATTCTCTCTAAGCATTTTCCATGTGAAAGGGTAGAGCCTTCATGGCTAATACTTCTGCTCAGGTCTTCTGGGCCTGAGGAAGGCCAAGCCAATACTACAACCAGTCAGTCCTGCCTGACTCTCTTGGCCCATTTTAAAAGCCCCATTTTCTAAAGACAGTGATTAACTATTCCTATTTGCATTCCATTGGTACTGGTTCCATGACTAAATCCAAAGCTTCTTCTCTGTGTAGCCTGATCTACAACCAAGATCTTGGATTTGGACCTAGTTCTGAGGCTGATGCCAACCTGAAGCTGGCTATTTTGGACTCTTGAACCTCCCCAAGAAAAGGAATTCTATCACCTCTCTTGGTATTCAACTTGCTCTTGGTGCTTTTCCACAGATCTCTAGTAGGGTGTTTAATTCCCACAACATCTTGTACCAGAGCCTTACCTAAGTTTTTGTCAATCTTCTTCTGAGACCACGTTTGCTTCGAGTCTTAAAACTTTTTCCTGCATGTGCTTGTCTCTGTGCAAAATAGGTGCCATTGAGCTATGGAAAAAAATATTTTGTGAAAAATTTTATTTCCATTTCTGAAACATCCCCTTCCTATGTCAAAGAAAAGAACGCCAAGCTGGGTTACATATTCAGTTACATATTGGGACATGTTTTTAAAAATCATTTCTTTATAGTACTGCTTACCCAGATTTTCTCTTGGGAATTTTATTGTTATTGAATATGCAATTTGATTCATTTCATCTTCTTTTCCTTATCTTATTTTGACAATCTCTTTTCCTCAATGTATATTCATGAGCTTCTTCTAATATCCTTTCCTGGATTATATCAATTTCCCTTGATTTTATATCAATGTACCAATACCATCATGCCCATTTTTGTAAAAAGTGTTCTAAAGCTTGGTTGGACATATGGTATATAACTTAATTCATGATATTAGCCTGATACATATTTTAAAACTATTACCATTATTTAGAATCAGTGTTTCCAAAGGAGAAAACAAATGTCCATAAAGGGCTTAACAAATAGATGAGAAAAATAGTTAATGGTCAATAAGTCCATATTCAACACTCTTCATTCACAAGCATTTGTTCAATATGTACTATATCCAGAAATGAATGTAGTCATTGAGCCATGAATGTAACAGATACAAGCCTTTCCCTTACCACTCTTCTGAGACAACATATGGAAAGACTGTTCAACTCAAGTACTTCTCTTGCCAAAAAGTTATAATCTAATTGAATGGATCCAGACAAGAGTAACTAAAATGATTAAAGGAATTATGGGATTCATTTCATGAGAACAGATTGCTGAAGCTAAAGCTTACTAAGTACCAACAGGGGGAAACAATATGTTGTGTACCACTAAGTTACTGCCTTCTGATGAATTATTGAACAGGATTGGAAGAGCAAAGGATGCAAATTAAGTAAAGGATTAAATCTATTCCTTTATTGTGGGAGAAAATGAAATCACAATGAATCTGCTTTTGTTTCATGCTTACATATATTACATGTTACAGAACAGTGTATAAAATACAAAAGTTCTTGTCTTCCCAGCACTAACTGCTAAGGAAATAGGGTAAAAACATGCTCAATGAGACCAAGGAAATAACTGACTTGTGAGAATAATAGACAAGTTCAGTGAAGGAAATAGTCTTTCTCAGGATCTTTATCAATCACAAAAATGTGGTTTCAGGTCAGCATAAGAACATAACAACCATGGCAGAAGGACACTTCCACTCTATCTTTCTCCAGATTTTTTGTTGCTCTAAAAGCTGCATGGGTTCGTTCCTCCTTTATATACATCTAATTATGACATACACAACTGGAAGACTACACTGACACCCTTTATTGAAGAAATGATATTGGAGCTCCCCTAGTTCTAGAACTCCTGTTCACAAAGGCCCCAAAAGTTCCTTTCATGAATCGTGTCCCAGCTCTTTCTAGTTCTGCGCAGAAATAGCTCATTTTCTAAGAAGATGGTAGCTGTGTTTACAGAATTAAGATTTAAAACCGATCATTAAAAAAAACTGGAGTGGGTACAGATAAAAAATCAGTGAATTCAGGGCTGAGTGGAAATACACATTGGTAGGGAAACTGAAGAATGTTTTTGTGTTTCCTTTTCATTTGTTCTAGAAAGGGAATTTCTCCTCTTATCTACCCCTTTGATAAACCTGAATAAGCAATGAGTAGAAAAGAATGTAACTCCCCAAAAAAAATTTTTGTGTAAAGTTGATACAATTTAAAACTAGTTTAAAATCATTTTAATTTAGCATTTTCGATGATTTTCACATATCCTTAAGCATGTATATATTTTAGCACAAGCTTCAGAAAGTTAAACGAAGTCAGTTGTGAAAGTGGAAGCATGAAATTCTGAATTCCAAGGCACATAAGGAGCTTGCAATCACATATAATAAGTTAAAAATCATTCCAAAACAGTCCAAGCTATTTTTAGAAGAAGGAGAGTGCCACAGAATACATTTCTTTTTATTTTTAAGATTTATGGGGTCCAAGTGCAGTTTTGTTACATAAGTATAGTGCATGGTGATGAAGTCTGGACTTTTAGTGCAGCCATCACCAGAAGAGTATACATTGTACCTATTAAGTAATTTCTCATCACTCATCCTACTCCACCCTTTTGAGTCTCCAGTGTCTATTTCCAGAATACATTTTTAATTTAAAAACACTATTAATTTTAAAAAATTGGTAGCTGGTGTAGTCCTTATTTCCTTCTTTTAATGACATCAGTCCATTTGTTGGGAGAGTACCTACGAATTCTTGAGAGAACCAAAACAGGTTATTAATATAATCTCTTTATATATATTTTATATATTACATTATATATACTGTATATATCCCTAGTAGTTCTAGTAGATATACAAATGTGGTTTAGGGCATATACAAATCACTCAACTGCAGTATACACATTGTCTTCATGAGCACATGGAATATTCTCCAGTATAGACTATATGTTAGGCGATAAAACAAGTCTTAACAAATTTTTTAAAATTAAAATTATATCAAATGTTTTCTCAGACTCCAATTAAATATATATATTATATATATAATGTAATATATATAAACAGGTTATGTTAATTAATATTACCATATTTTAAAATATAATAATGAACATAGTACATAATAACATAAATAGCATTTTTTATAGAAAATTGATGCTATTTCTTATTTTTGCAAATTGCTTTCATATCTAGTGTAAGAGAAAAACCACTGAAATGTTACACCTGCTTTTGCATTCACCTATTTTTTTCTTTTCTTTCCTTTTTTTGAGATAGAGTCTGTTCTGTCACCCAGGCTGGAGTGCAGTGGTGTGATCTCAGCTCACTGCAACCTCCACCTCCCGGGTTCAAGCAATTCTCCTGCCTCATCCTTCCAGGTAGCTGGGATTACAGGCACCCGCTACCACATTCAGCCAATTTTTTGTATTTTTAGTAGAGATGGGGGTTCACCATGTTGGCCAGGCTGGTCTCGATCTCCTGACTTAAGGTGATCTACCCGCCTCAGCCTCCCAAAGTGCTGGGATGACAAGCCTGAGCCGCCACGCCTGGCCTGCAGTCATTCTTTTGAGTTCATGTCAAAGAACTCATGCAACCTCTGGAAATTTTCACTATAGGCTCATGCTAGAATGGGAGTGAAAAGGCAAATAGGGTCTTACTATCATTGTGAAAATAACTTTGACCTCACAGTCTCCTCATGGGATCTTGGAATCCCGAAGAGTCCCTTAACCATACTTTAAGAACTGCTGCTGTACTAAAACAACCAGCAGATTAAAGACCCAAGTTTACAGGAAACACTGTATTTATAAGGCATATCACATAGTTTTCTTGTTAACAATTTCCTTTTGTGTAAAATGTGGTTTAGGGCAGATTCTCTCAGGTTCCTCTCAACTCTGTTCTGTGATTGTGTAAAATATTAAAGGGATTTTATAAAACAACTGCAAAATACACATTGTATTCATGAGCACATGGAATATTCTCTAGGAAAGACTATATGTTAGGCCATAAAACAAGTCTTAACAAATTTTTAAAAATTAAAATTATATCAAATGTTTTCTCAGACTCCAATTAGATAAAAGCAAAAATCAATATCAAGAGGAACGTTGGAAACTATACAACATGCTCCTGAATGGCCACTGGGTCAATGAAAAATTAAGAAGGAAATCAAAAACATTTTTGAAACAAATGAAAATAGAAACTAAACATAACAAAATGTGTGGGGTACAGCAAAAGCTCTGTTAAGAGAGAATTTGATAGCAATGAACAC